CAACAGGTGTGTATCTATTTTCCTTTAAGTTGGAGACCCACTTCAGCTCTTTGAGTATAGAAACCCTGGCTGTGACTAGGGGACAGAGAATGTGTCCCTGGGAAGGTACAGCTTTTTTGGTTTCTTACAGAAACTGATGCTAATATCTTGTAGTTGGGCTAATCTGAGGGTATAAAAGCCTCTGACCGTGATTCTTAGTGAGGACAAGCTCTGTTAAGCTTCAAGTTATATTAGAAACTAATCAAGAAAAGCATGGCTATCTTCCTCAGTAGACTATATAATTAAGTGGTTTTCTTGACTTCTATGTATAAGCTTAAGGGTTACAGCATTTGGACACACAATGGATATTTGTTGAATGAATGAATGAGTGAACAAATGAATCCTCTATGAAAATCTTCTGGATGACATGTATATAAATCCTGAGACTGGGGCCTCCCTGGTGGCACAAGGGGTTAAGCAACCTATGAAGCTATCCGCAGCCACTATCCCCAGCCAGGGTGCTAACCACATGGTGCAGCAGACCTCTCCTGATTCGCCTGCTGCTCCCCTCAGCAATGTATTTCACTCAGTCTGCCTGTTCTGCTCCCCACTCTGTCTCTGGTGAATCCTTTCAACCCCCATAGCTCTAGCCTGTACCCCGGTTCTTGTATGTATAAATAAATCTTTAAAAAAAAAATCCTGAGACTAACTTAATGTCTGGAGGTCTGAACTGCTCTGACAGATCAATCACTTGGATTAATAGCATGCACTTATTCGTGGCCTTTCTGTCAACAGGACCTGTCCTCAGAGTTCTTGACTCCTCGTACAAAACAGCTGACCTGGGCATCATATGCAGAGGGGCACTGCCAGCTACCCAGGAGCCCTGTGCTCCCCGGGAGGAATGGCCTCTGGTCTCTGGGCTACAAAGGGCACAGGTGTCACAAACTGCTTCTCTTTTTATCATAATATGTAGTGGCGAGGGTCATCAAAGCAGGCCTTTTCCTGGGCTGTTGTTAATGTCAAATTTAATTTGTCCAAGAGGTCTCACCGAGAGCTATTTACCATGCACTTCATACTGCAGGCAGCTCTGTGACAAGTCACATCTGACAAGCCTGGTACTGAAGGGTAGTGTGCTTTATTTTGAAGCTCTGAACTCAGAGGAAGTCTAAACAGTACCCCCCCCCCAAAAAAAAAAAAAAAAAAAAAACCTTCTCTGAGCAGCCTGGCTCTATGTAAAGTGAGAGCAGCGGGTCCCTCTGTCTGGTCCTACAGGCCAAAGGTGACACAGATTCAGAGCCTTGCTTTGTTTTTGTTTCAAGGTAGACGGAGCATCTCAATGTAGAAACTCAGGCAGCAATACACTTCACATCCAGGGCTTCTCAGAAGCCAAGAGGCCTTTCCAAGTCCTGCTGTAGCTTTCAGCCACTTCCTGTCAGAAGGCTGTGCAGCTATTATCTGACTTCTGCTTAAATGGATTTGATCACCCACTATGGCCAGTGGAGCCTACTTCATGGGAGTGGGGACCTGGGGGAGAGGACCAAACATTCACAATGCCCCTCCGGTGGACCCCTCAGCAGGGTCGCTGCACAGCAGGCACAGCAGGCAGCCGTGCCTGCTTCTGGGTGAGCATAGAGGGCGGGAGAGTTAACTGAAGGGAAGAGTTTAGAATGGCGAAGGGAAGAGAGACCATTCTAATGGAACAAACAAAGCAACAAAGGCTCAAGTGTGAGAGCCAGTCAGCTACCCTGGGAACCAAAATGCGGTGCTCTGGCCAAGAAGGGGCAGAACATCAGGAAGAAGTGGGTTCTGGGGATGGATAGATGGTAGAGGAAGGTTCTCAGGAGGGTGGAGAGGCAGCTACAGTTGGGTACCCACACCTGGGTGTTCATGAGAGACTCCTCATTGTCCCCTAAACCTGTTCTTGCTCTAGATTCCAAGGTCTGGTTGGTTGACAGCTTGTCCAGTTAGAGCCACACGTCAGAGTCATCTTAGATCCTCTCTCATTTCTGACTGCTCACTAGTCATTGGATCTTGTGGATTCTGCCTTCTAAAGCTCTTTCCTTCACCACTCCCGCTACTCCCCTGGTTCAGAACTCCTTATCTTCTGCTTGGTCTACGGCAATAACATCCTAATTGGTCTCCCTGTTCCTGTCCAAAGTCAATAAAGATTTATAGCGTGATAAATGCAGGAAAGCTGAGGCTTAAAGTGTCATGGGAATTCCCTAGTTGGGAAGCCCAGCAAGTTACTTGTCTCAAGCGACTTGTCTACTTTTCACAGAAAACATGCAGAAGCTTGTCTTCAGAACCTATGGTGCATGACAGGAGTTGGGAACTTCAATCCAGACTTGGTTTAGAAATAAACCAGGCTTTTAGTTTGCAGGGAGCACAGGGCCCTGCTGAGCAGCCTCCTTTGAAGTAAACTCTAGCTCCAGATTCGCACCTGGGCCTTATTTATTTGCTTCAGTACTTTTCGGTGAGAAACCCCCCAGCGTAAAATCAGGGTTCCAACTCTTGACATGGAGACCTGGCCTGTCACGGTTCTTGGATGTATTTCCTATAAGTGTGGTGGTTGGCACTTCTGGGAAGGTCGCCAGAAAGACACACAGACCTCTCTCCACCAAGGTCTCCCAGTACCAGATAAGCTCGAAGCTTGGAGGAACTGCTTTCCTGACTAAATTAACCTGCCTCCCCGCAAGGAGAAGCTGACAGCCCAGAGGATTGAGCTGTGTTAACACCAGAGGCAATTTTGCGCTAAAGTTTCTTCCCTCAGAAAATCCTTCTCACTCTCCATATCTTCCCATCTCTCCCCAGAAACATTCAAAATCACATTACAAGTGCGTGCCCTTGGGCCCATCAGATCTTTAACAAGCTCATTCCATCATCTCCCTCTAACCTGGAGGAGTTTAGGAAATGACTGTAACCCGCAGTGGCATGGGGTCGAGTTGACTTATAATTCAGGTGCGCAGGGAGTGAAAAGAGATATTCATTCAAAGTAAGATATCGCCTGAGATGACTTGGCACAGAGTGAAGGAGAGGACTGAAGGCAGTTTTCTGGATATTGCAGGGCCCTGGTCTCCAGTTTTGAAAGAGCTGTTTAAGATATTGCAGTTGTGGTGCTTTGTCCTATCTACTACATCGTTCTGGAGTGGCCCAGTGTCCCCACAGACCTTCCTCTCAGCCTGGAGGCACGATAAATGGAACCTGGTGACATCCGAGCAGGGTTTATTTCATATTCAGTTATGAACTCATCACTCAGTTCTTTGTGCAAGTGTGGACAAAGGAGTGTGCGTGTGTGTGTGGGCACACGCATGTGTGTGTATGGGTGTGGTTATGTGTGTGTGTGGTTATGTGTGTGGCCACGCTGAGGGAGGAAAGTCTGCCCCAAAGACACTAGTGGAGGGTCACCAGGAAGGGGTAGCTGGTTAGACTGTGTTGAGGGGTCCTCTACTCCTTGTGGAGTTTCCATTATCCCCAAATATGATGTGCTCTTTCCTAAGCACCGCCACAGCACTGCTGGAGTGTCCTATGTGATTTCCAGAAAATTATTGAAAAAGAATAAGAGAGAAATGAAATATCTATGGATGGGGATGAAGGAGGCCCATTTACATTTCGACAGTCTGGTTTACTGAGCACAGGTGACCCTTCCCAACATTTTGAGTGTCCTCTTGCTCCATAGCTTGCTCGAGAGATTTTTCCAGTCAGCTCCAAAGGTCTGGCCAATGTCAAGACACTGAGCTGAAGAACCCTTCATGTGGATAGCTCTACCTTCATTCTGACTGTCACTCTCTCTTTTTTTTCCTACTCTCTCTTTTTTTTTTAAACTTACTCTCTCACTTCCTTTGTGACCTTGAATGTGTCACTTTTCCTCTGTAGGTCTTAAATTTTCTGTCTTTAAAATTGGATAGAGTACCACCCTCACAATGAATGGAGAGAGTTAAATAAAGCAGTGCAGGGCCTCTCTGGTGGCGCAAGAGTTAAAGTCTCAGCACTGTCAAGCTATCAGCAGCCACTGCAGCATGAGTTCAATCCCCGGCCAGGGAGATACCCCACATGGCACAGCACAGACCTCTCCTGTCTCCCCCGCTGCTCCCCTCATTCAATAGATTTGCCTGTTCTGTCCCCACTCTGTCTCTGGTGAATCCTCTCACTCCCCACACCTTTGGCCTACACCCCAGTTCTTCTATGCATAAATAAATAAAAATAAATTTTAGTAAATAAATAAATAAATAAATAGTCTGTCAGGTGCCCACAGTAGGTCCTCAATCAAGCTAACTTTTCGTTTGTATGCTCTTCCTTCATCCTGGTTTCTTACTTCCTGGCCTGCTCCTTTCTATGGCACTATCTCCCAGCCTACTAATGGCAAGACTCTCTCCAGCACACTTGGTCACCTTCACTTCACTCACCTCCAAACCCGCCCAAGCTCATCTTTTCTGATGTAGGCAGCCAGGCCCAGCTTCCTGGCATGCAGCCTTAGCGGCCCCGCAGGGCCCCAGACTAGCCGTGGGGCCCCAGCTTGGTTTAATGATTTGCTGTTGCTGTCCTAAAATTCTTAATAATTTTTGAAGTTTTCACATTTTCATTTTCACTGGACCCTACAAATTACATAGCTGGTCCCTGGAGAGGTGAATAATGTTTCCCGGAGTACTTAGGTCACCTTCACATTGGCCCCCACTCAGGTGCCTCTCTCCAAACCAACATGGTGAAGGAGACTTGTATTTTCTTCAGGCCCTGTGCTAGGTAGTCTTGAATACGTTGTGCCATGTGGTCCCTGTTTTATCAATGAAGAAGAGGGACTTTGTCACACACCACAGCCACACAATTGATCAGGTTTGCCTGACACCAAAAGTTGTGCCTTCTGCTCCTTTAACCACAACAAACAAACTTAATATCCCTCCAGGAGTTACATATAGCAATGCAGTGGGGAAGGCACTGATTCTTTCAAAAGACGAGCAAACATGCTCTATTTGTATGGTGTTATTTAAATGCAATTAATTAAGAAATGCCAACAGGGATAAACCTACCACATAGCTTCTGAAGGGATTTCTCAGAGTAGGTTTCTCGGTCGCAGCCCTTCCCAATGTAATTGGTCTGCAGCTCAGTTGTGATCTGGATGGAGGACACGGCCCCATCACATGTCTCCAAGTGGATGCTGGGGAACAGGGGTACACTCCCCGAGCCAGGCTGATACTCAATCCTCTTGGTCCAGTCTGAAAAAAACAAGCCCAGGATTAAAGAAAATCAGGCAACCAGTTTTGCTGTCACATTTGTTTTCAAAATGAGAATTTTTTTCTCACACAAATACTGTATTAGGGAATAATTGGTGAATAAGGAGAATTTATGTTTGCTTATGCAAGATTTCCATTCCAAGAAATACTAAGTGATGGCAGGAACCTGAGCCCAACTGAGCTGTACCATGTAGGAAAGAACAAAACACCACATGCACGCACCTCAGACACCCACCTGCTACTCCGCTGCTTTCACACCTGCGGTTCCCACTCTCCATTCCATTCAGAAGTCCCCCCACCCCCACTGCCTCACCATAACTGTCCAGCTGCCTCCCTCCCACATTCATTTGCACAGACTCCAGTGCTCCTCAAGGCAGAGCGCTGGTTTATTGTAGTATTTATGTATTTCTTAGTCACTCAGGCTGTGGGAAACTGTGCTAGCTTTTCTTTCTTTCTTTTTTCTTTTGCTCTTTTTTAATGTGTTGCTGGTGATATTTTTGAGTGTTGTGCTCCTTGCCTCGTTTTTCCCAGCGAGGTGACTTTTAGGACACATATGTCTTATTGCAAAATATGAGAGCGTGGTAGGTTAAGGATTATGTGCGGTGAGAAAGTGGGGTGCCAGCATTCTTTCCCAAACATCCAGGACAGTGACCCACTCAAGATGGTGATGGTCTTATCTCTGCTTTTCAATGGAGATATAATTTGGAGATGGGAAAGCACAGGAGAGGTACAAAATCACAATCAAAATGGCACCACACAAAACAAAGCAATCAAGAAAAATAATCATGAAGAGTCAGAGTACACGGGAACTGATAGAAGCAATAGCAGTGATTGAAAGTTGGCGCTCCCATGCCCCGCAGCAGGGCTTGTGATAATAGCGTGCATCCCTCCTGCCACATGGGCCCAATGTGCAAGCTTAAACAGATTTGCAGAGAGAGGAGTGAATTTGAATTATCAAAGAATATGAACTATGGATATTATTAGTTTATGAGTCCCAAATGTTTTTCATGTTATGCTAGATGTTATGCTTTTATAGCAGAAATGAAAACCTATGGAATGACCAGCCTTTACCAGGGACAAACTCGCATCCTGCAAGTGTGAGTCTGTTTGCAACCTCCAGGGGTTGCTTGCTTGCTTCACAAGTCCGCAGCCATCTTGCCTGATTCCAGTAAGGGGAGCTGGCTGGACTTCGGGGTCAGCCACTGAACAACCATTTATTCCAGGTTTTTATGTTCCAAGCTTTGCTTGGAGTACCAAGGATACAGCAGTAAAGGAGTCAGAAAGATCCCTCTGATCACTGGAGAAGTGAGGTGGATCATGAGTGGATCAGTGAAACATTGGTAACAGGGAGGAGTTCGTTTAGATGGAGAAAGTTCCTGCTTGAGTCGAGGCCTGAATATCAGGGATAGATGCACATGGGCAGCTTCTGAGGAGCAAGGTTTAAGCAGATGCAACACTGAACCTGCGGTGATACCAGGTCAGAAAGTCTTGGATAGACTAATGAAGGGCTTCGAGTCCCAGGAACCTCATCAGTACAATAGGGGCCATAGCCTTGGCCTCCCAGAGTTGAGGGAGGATCAAGTGTGACACGTGTCTTATGCATGGCTGACAACAGAACCCCCATCAACATCGTTTTGGGAAAGGAGGAGAGATGTTCGGTCCACAGCGGGCAATGTCCCCTGCACTGCAACCTTCCCTTGTTCAAGATAACCATGTCATTGGATTTTAACTGTGAATTCCCATGTTAACCAGCCATCCTATAAGGGTTTTTTCAGAGCCCCCATAGAGATTGCACACCAGGGTGTGAGGTTTGTTTTCAGGGAAATTGTCTGGTAAGATGTTTAGAGGAGCGTGACTATAAGCCAAAGATAAAATACCCAGGGATGTGTTTTCTCTCCTAACCCCAGGAACTGTGTCTAGACTAGCCTGTCACCTCCCAGAGGATGCTGTCATTGAGCTGCTATAGCTCATGGCCCAGAGATCTCAGGTTCAATCTGAGGGACAAATCACTGAAGGACAGGAGAACTTCTTGTCAAGTGTACCTGAAAGTCATAGTGCTGCCAGAAGCAGCTGCACATGGCCAGCCGTGTGTGTCCAAGACACAAAATGTTTCATGCCACTGTGCATTTGATCATTGCTGCTTTTCCTGCCTGCAACTCCCTTTCCATCACCTTTGTCTTGTCTCCTCCTCTACGCAGCCTTCCAGGATTACCTCAGTGGGGGTAGAAACCCTCATTTGTGCTCCCAAAGCATCCTCTACTTTAGACTATGGCACAGACTAACAGTTTCATTCCTCTGAATCCCCTTCATGCTGCACAGTGCCTGGCACAGAGTGATGCTCCCTAGAGAGTCACAGAAAGAGTGAGTAAACCCTGTAGGAGCTTATATAGAAATGTTCCATTTGTTTTCTTGACTCCCCCAGTGACTGGGAACTCTTAAAAACAAGGGCCAAGATATTTATTTTTGATCTAGAATGCTGGAAGCATTTTCTAGGTGGAGCTATCCGGGGGAGGGGTCTAGGAGACAGACACATACCCTTGATTACTGCCCAGGCAGCCCTTGAGCCACAGAGCTCATGGCCTATTTGCAGCTTCTGTCTGCCCTGCTTTCAGATCTGCAGAGTCGCCCATCCCAACAGCAAGCCATACCATGCCGGCTTCTCTGTTCTCAGCAGGGCAGTTGATATAGAATTGATGATGGGGGTCTGCTTCCCGATAACAAAAAATGGCGTCAAGGAGGAGCCCCCTTTTCTTTCCCTGTACCCTCCCTTTCTTCGGGAATGCAAATACAAAGCAGAGAAAGTGGCTTTTGGGGGAGGCCTGGGTGTGAACCCCATTGTGCCAGTTCTTGGGGCTCCCCTCTTCCTGCTTCTGTGTAAGAGGTCCTCCTCAGCACATCTTTCTGGAAGCTGCTTCCACTGGAGAAGCCGAAACCCCTCTCCATGCTGATCCCCTTTATTCTGCGGGGGCTGCTGGCATCTCTTTCTCAGCTCGATGTTTTGGTGGCTCTCTTTGATGAGAAATTCTGCCTCAAATTCTTTTTTAGAAGAAGGACAAATCAAGAAGCAAATAAATAATGAAGGAAAAGTTAGTGGAGACTCAGGTCAGCAGGTTTTCATCCCTCTCTCCCACCCCCCGGCTGGGAACAAGCATCTCTCTGGGGAGAAATCAGATACAAAAGAGCTTCAGGACACCATATCTGCCAGTGGCGTTGGCGACCTTCTGAGGCTTGCTTTTGAGGGTTTATGAGGAACAGGCAAAATTGCAACCATATAGTAAGAGAAATTGAGCAGCTTTCTGAGCACAGTGTCCTTGAGAGAGAGGGAAGCTCACACAAATTTCGTTCATTTTCCAAGAAGGAGTTGGGATGGGATTAAGAGAGCAAAAGGCGAGCTATCAGATTCAGCCTTTACCACATGAAATGTCTGTCCATCCTCATTTCCTGTAGGGTAGGATGGCATGATGGATAAAATAAAACATGGCCTCTACACTCAGCTTGTGCAGCTTCAAATTCCAGTCTCTACCACTTCTGGTGTAACTCTGGGCATATCCCTTCCCCTCCTGGAGCCGCTGTTCCCACTGCTGTAGAGGCAGTGCCTACTTATCACTCAGGAGTTTAGGTGGGGGGATTAAAAGTGGAGTTGATTTATACCAAACACAAGGGCATGTTCAGTAGACACATTATTATTAAGTTATCTGCTATTCAATAACATTTATTGCAGGAAATAAGAGGACATCACAGTTACCAAGCACCTACAAAGTGATAAACACTTTACATCTATATCCTTTCCTTTAATCCTGCCAACAACTCAGCGAGTGGGTGGCAAGTTAATTATGCAGGTGACAAAACCGTGGCTGAGGGTCCTGTGACTCACCTAGAGCCACGCTGTTCTTGCACAATAGCTCTTTGAGGATTCTGAGGATTTTCCAGAAATGAGAGAAACTGTAATCTTTACAGATTTATTTTTGAACATTCAGTTTACACTAATTTTTTTTAAAAGGTGATCAACACCCATTTTGGCAAGGGATCAAGGAGTCATTCCATTGCTAGTTGATTTTTATTTTTTTAAAGATTTATCCATTTATGCATACAAGAGCTAGGGTACAGGTCAGAGGTCTGGAGGTGAGAGGATTCACCAGAGACAGAGTGGGGAACAGAACAGGCAGAATGACTGAAATACACTGCTGAAGGGAGCAGCAGGTGAGCCAGGAGAGGCCTGCTGTGCCATGTGAGAAACTCCCTGGTCGAGGATCAATGGAACTTGTGCTGCAGCGGCTGCCAACAGCTTCATAGGGTGTGTCCCAACCCCTATGCCACCAGGGAGGCCCCCATCACTACTTGATTTTGAGGGCAGTTTGTGGGGACAGTAGGGTTGCTTTGACTCAAAAGACCGGACTTGACTCTCAACTCCCTCAAATGTGGGTCATGCCATCTTTGCAAAGTTTGTCATGTCTGAGCCTGTGGTTCTATGTGTCAACTGGATATAATAACACCTCCTCCAGGTCTTGTACTGAGGATATAGACTAAGGGGCTAACACAGAGATCTTCCTGTCAAAGCCTCCGGGTGGGAATATTCTATTCTTTGGTTCACAAGCTTTCCAAGCTTCTCTGAGCTATCCTGCTTGAATGAAATCTCTTCCATTTATAAAGGGCCTAGAACTAGTTTATAAGTTGTGGTTCAATTTTTTTCCATTAAGTTTAGAAATAGAAAGCAGATCACCTGTAGTTTGAATAATCAGGTTCAATTGCACTGCAAGTGTTCCTGAAAAAGCTAACATTGGAATGCCTTGAGGATTTAAGCTCCTCTGTGGATTAAGGATTTAGAAATGTGAGGATTTTATTATAATTCCTGCTAAATTGAGGGAACATATGCTTTCTTATCAGGAGAATATTAACTACTTGTAACTCTCATATTTATGCCTGGATGTGGAAGAACGGTAACATAAGATTTCCGAAAAGCATATGCTTTGGGGCCTCTTGTG